CGGACTCATCAAAGGTGACGTCACGAGAGTGGAGGAAGCGGTGAGACGGCGGGTGGTAGAAAAGCCAGTCAGACGAGTCCAGGGGGAAACCGAGGAAGACACAGGGGACAGTGCGGGCAGTGAGCTTGTCCGTGCCAGAGGCACGAACGTGAGCAAGGCAGCCCCAGACGTGGAACGCAGACGCGTCACCGGGGGACCCGGTCCAAAGGAGGGTCGGCGAAACCTGCGGCCGCTGGGAGCGTGGCCACAGGTTAAGCTGGTGAGCCGCGTAGCGAACAGCGAACGGCCACAGAAAATGGGGGGCATCGGCATGGATCATGGAGGTACGGGCGACCTCCATGACCAAGCCGATGCGGCGCTCAGCAACCCCATTCTGCTGTGGCGAGTCCGGCAACGTGTACGACTGGGTGATGCCCTCCGCACGACAGAACTGTCCAAGCCGACCAGAGGCGAACTCGCCGCCACGGTCGGAGTGGAGACACAACACGGGGAGACCGCGGTGGAGACGCGCAGCCACAACCCACGGGAGAAGAACGTCGGGCACGTCAGCCTTCCGCTCCAGGGGAAACACCGTGGTGTAGCGCGTGTAGTCGTCGACGAGCACAAGGAAGTAGCGCTCACCGCGCGGTCCGGGGACGGGGGCAGGGCCCCAAACGTCCAAGTGCAGGGTCTGAAGGGGGGCAGTAGCAGGACGCAGCGAGGAGGAGTGAGGAGCACGGCGGAGCCGACCCTCGACGCAAGGCGTGCACGGTGGCGCAGTCGAGGGAGGAAGGGCAGGGAGCGACGCGGGGAGACCTAAGACAAGACCGTGCTGGGACATGTGACGCAGACGCGGGAGAGCAGGGTGACCTAAGCGGTGGTGCCAGAGAAGGGAGGGGTGAGTGAGGGACCGACACGAGCAAGCTGCAGCGACCTGGGAGGACGCACCAACCGGGGGGGAAGCGGTGTGTAGGGTAAACAGACCGGACACCGGGTCCCGGGGGAACGTCGCAAGGGGGGAACCTGAGACAGCCTCAGAACAGACAGCGAACCGCTCGTGCCCGGGGAACGTGGTGGTGACGCCGAGGTCCTGGAGACAGCCGACACCAACCAGGTTCCTGGAGAACGAGGGAACGTGGAGGCCAGTAAGGGAGCCCGAGGGAACTGCCGGACAGGGAAGGGACGTAGAACTGCGCGCGACGACCGGACCCGCAGAGGGGTCAGCGAGAGAGACAACAGCAGGTGCAGCAAGCGGCGTGAGCGTGGAACGGTCGCGGAAGAAGCAGGCAGAAGCACCAGAGTCGAGAGTGAAGGACAGCGACGCAGTGGCGGGGGCCGGGGACGGAGCCGGTGCAGCGACTAGACTAGGCAACCTAGGCAGTCCTACGCCTGTCGCAGCAGGGGAAGCTAAGCTACACAAGGGTGAAACACCTAAACTAGAGTACACAGGGTAGTAAGATCCATCAACACTAGAAGCGTCAGCATACAAAGCATGCAAAGCAGCACCTATCTGATCCATGTCTAACTCAAAGATCAGCACGCCCTGGCGGAGCAGGCTGTGCCAGTCAGGGAGGTCCGGGGCCGGGCCAAAGCGACGACGAAAAAGATCGTCGAGGCGGCGGAAACAGCGGGCGGTCGGGTGCGGGCGGCGGCACAGAGTGCCGCGGAGAGGCCCGGTCTGAAGCTGGTACTGGCAGGTCACAGCACTGGAGCCGCTGGTAGACGCCAAGCTGCGCGGGCCGCCACCACGGCCACCGCCTCCGGAGGTGCCGGGCCAACCAGGCGGGAGACGAGCCCACGGCTGCGGCGGGTGCTGCTGGGACGGCGGCTGCGGCTGGGGCTGGTCCTGCTGCTGCTGGGACTGCTGCTCCTGCCCACCGGTGGTAGTCCCCTCAGGCGGACTACCGTCACCACCACCACGACCACTACCACCTGCGTCACCACCCCTACCTCCCTGGCGGCCACGGCCACCGCGACGCGAGCGCTGCTGCGGGTGGACAGCAGCAGCCGTCTCGGTAAGAGGGGTCGCCGTGGCGACCGCAGCCGAAACGTCAGTGAACGTGCACGGGGATGGGGCACAGCCGTGAAAGATAGAGACTGCCGGCGCACCGCTCGACTGAGCGATAGTGCGCTGGCGAGTCTCGATCTCAGTGAGGGTGTCGACAAAGGCGGTTAGGGTGAGGTCACCCGGGTGCTGGCTAAGAAAGTGGTCGCGAGCACTAGCGAGGCGGTCTGGCAGGCGCATAGCGATAAAATAGAGCGTCATGCAGAAAGGAGGGGGGAGCGCAGTGAGCTGGGCAGCAGTGCTGGCAGTGCGATAGCGAGTCTCTAGGGCACGCAAATGAGTGGCAAAATCTGCGACAGTAGGGAAGGCAGCCAGGTCTGGGAACAGCATCGGAAAGAGCAAGCGGCCAGCAGAAGCGGAGGCAGGGGTGGAATAGCGAGCAATAACGGCGTCTAAATAAGCTTTGGCCGTTTCAACAGTAGCAAAACGCGAGCGCTCAGACACAGGGAGGGCGTGACTAATAGCAACCTGAGCTACTGCATCGCGTGAGTCCCAGATCGCACAGGCCAGCGCAGCAGTAGAGAAAGCCTCACGGTCATCAGAGGAGGGGTCAGCAGGGAGGGGAGTAGGTGCAGGGGGACGGGGGAGCAAGCCATCAGCATGGACAACCAGAGAGTGGCCATCCTGGCGCTGACCTGTAAGCTGGCGGCGAAGATCGGAGAGCCAGGCGGCGAAGTCAACCGCGTGGCCCTCAGCGTCCAGGCGGAGCACAAAGTCAGCCATCGTGCAGGGTCAGCGGCACAGCTCCTCAGCGACACAGCGGCACAGCAGCACAGCTCCTCAGCGGCACAGGAGCACAGCGGCGCGGGGACACGGCGGCAGCACTCTCCAGTAGGGCAGCAGCTAGGCGTCCCAGCGCAGGCAAGCAGAAGACACAGGGCCCGAGAGGACACGGCAGGCCGAGCAGGGGAGGCGGGCAGGTGCTCTGGGGCCGGGCTGGTGCTGGGAGGGGCCAGGCTGGTGCTGCTGGGGCCGGTCGGGCACGAGGAGGGGCCGGGCAGCGCTGAGGAGAGGCCGGGCGGCGCTAGGAAGGGGCCGGGCGGCACTAGGAGGAGGCCGGGCGGCACTAGGAGGAGGCCGAGCGGCACTAGGAGGAGGCCAGGCGGGCGAGCGCTAACAGCAGGCGCGACAGGGGCCAGCGGGCGCGACGGGGCCTAAGGGGCGCGACGGGGCCCAGCGGGCACGACGGGGCCCAGGGGGGGCGCGACGGGGCCGAGGAGGCGCGACGGGGACCAGCGGGCACGACGGGGCCCAGGGGGGCCGCGACGGGGCCTAACGGGCGCGACGGGGCCCAGGGGGGGCGCGACGGGGCCTAGCAGGCGCGACGGGGCCTAGGAAGCGCGAAGGGGCCCAGCGGGCGCGACGGGGCCTAGGAGGGGCGCGACGGGGCCGAACGGGCGCGACGGGGCCCAGAGGGGGGGGACGCGACGGGGCTTAGGAGGCGCGACGATGCCTAGGAGGCACGACGGGGCTCAGCGGGCTCGACGGGGCCCATGGGGGGCGCGACGGGGCCTAGGAGGCGCAACGGGGCCCAGCGGGGGCGCGTTAGGGCCTAGGTGTCGCGACGGGACCCAGCGGGCGCGACGGGGCCTAGGGGGAGCGCGACGGGGCCTAGGAGGCGCGACGGGGCCCAGCGGGCACGACGGGGCCCAGGGGGGGCGCGACGGGGCCTAACGAGCGCGACGGGGCCCAGGGGGGGCGCGACGGGGCCTAGGGGGCGCGACGGGGCCTAGGAGGCGCGACGGGCGGAAGCGGTAGGCGGGGGGATCCTAACCTAAGCGTGATACCATGTTAACGTAGAAACGAAATGATTACTAGAGGTGGAAACCTAGAACAAATACTAGTTGGTTGTACTCACTAGAAGCATACCTCAGTCTAGCCTATAACTTCTACATAGATAATATGTATAAGTTGACACAACCAACTGGTATTTGTTCTTTGTTTCTCTTCCTAGTTATTCATTCGTTCTTACGTTAACAGTTGTCCCCTCTACAGTAGGATCCAACAAAGTAGCACATCTACCAAGCCTAACCAACTATATATATAATTATATAATTTGACACACCCCCTAGGCTTGGTAGAGGCAAGCCCACCCCACGCGCAGCACCCCCACACCTTGCACCCCCATGCCCTGCAGCAGCGGTGGCGTCGTCAGCCGGGTCGACCTCTCGACGTACGAGGCGGCGACGTCAGCGGCGGGGGCAGCGGTGGCGGCGGCGACGACGACGACGAAGGTATGACGACAGCGGCGTCTGCGACGGCGGGTGGCGGCGGAGCCAGCGGCACCTGCGGCAACGGCGGCGGAGACCGCGGCACCCGGCGACATGGCCCGGTACAGCAACGACGGGGCCGCACGGCGTGAGAGAGCCATCGGCTGCGGCGGGGAGAAAGGGAAATGCAGAGGAGGGGGGGGCGAAGCTGCAGCGAGGCGCCATGGCGACGCGGCGCTGGCTGGCGTGCGGGCGAGCTGGCCGGCTCTAAAACATTGCGCGGCCCGCTGCTGCCGTGGACGACGCCACGGCAGCTCGACGACGCCGCCACGGCGTTGCGTCGCTGCCGCGGCAGCACGTCGATGCCGCCACGGCAGCATGGCGATGCCGCCACGGCAGCGCGTCGAGGCTGCCACAGCAGCACCACGAAGCCGCCATGTCAGCACGACATGGATGCCACGGCGTCGCGGAAGTGAGGAGAGGACGCTGCGGAAGCGTGAGGAGTAGGCCCGAGCGGAAGGGCCTTATCTGATACCATGTTAAGATAGGGCTAGGAACTCCCGGTAGGCATATAGGACTAGTGAGAGATTTAGCTAGGGGGCAGAAAGTTGACGAGAGAAAAGGGGTTGACTAGGAAAGAGGAGATACAAGAAGGGGAGGGGTTGTCCTCTCTACAGTAGGATCCAACAAAGTAGCACATCTACCAAGCCTAACCATATATATATATATATATATATATAATTTGACACTAAGCCCTAAAAAGTACATGGAAGTAGGAAAGTTGGTAAAACATATAGAATCAGTGAAGCACTTGTAAGAACAAACTACTGGGACCACCACTGTACATGACATTGAACAATTTCTATGAATGTGGCAGTGCTACAGCTTGCTGACGTGAGCTACCTATTGTACGCTGAAAGGCCTGTGCCTAAGGTGAACATCCCCTTGTCGTTAGCTTCTTTCCATGCTCTGTAACGTTCTGTCTTCATCACTCTACCTGTGCCCAATGCACACTGCGTGCAGTACTGCACTCCACTGGAGCACCGCAGGTGTGCTGCTCTGCTTCCAACACAACCTCTGCTCCTGCTCCAACTTGAGTTGGCCCTCGCACACTGCCCCTCAGTACGGCACATAGCCGTCAAGGCTCTTGTCGTTGGGTCCGCCCTGCACATAGTAGCTGCGGTACCACCGCACAAACCTCTCCAGACCGCTGTCTAGGTCCGCCGCCGGCTCGTAGCTGCACCGCACAGGGCACGGAGGCACAGGGACATGCTACAGCTGAGGCAAAGAGCAGCATGCGTCAAGTGCACATTGAGGGTTTAGGGTTTTGCTGAGGGAGGAAAGTAGCGAGGAAAAGAGAAGCACCACTGAGTGCAAGAGTTAGAGGGGGTTGTGCACAGTCCAGTGTGGGACGTGGTGAGTTCTTCACCCACCCGAGTTCACGCTGTGCTCTGGTGACGTTGGCATGTGTGAAGAGCACATCGCCGGTGCTGGGCATCTGGATGTAGCTGCGCACCGGGGGAGGGGGGGGGGACAACACAAGCACTCAGATGGGGGGAAGCAAGCAGAGCAGGGTCTGGGAGCTGTGGGGGAAAAAAAAGAGCACGGTGATTTTATTCTTAGACAGTTAATTATTCTTTAAAAAATTGGTTTGCGCCAACGAGGAAGCAGAGGGGGCTTGTGGGAAGCAGCTAATGGAAGGGGGTTAATGGCATGTGGCGTGAGGGGAAAGGGGGACATCTCACTTCCTGACGGCCTTCATGTTGAGGTGCTTCTCCAACAGCCCCACAAAGTCGCCCACTTTGACGGGCTGCGTGTTGCCCAGGTTGTACACACGGAAGGGCGCCTTGCGCCTCTTCTTTCCCCCGCCACCCGTGCTGGGCCCCGCCGTGTCCAGAGCCGCTACGCACCCCCTCACCACGTCGTCAATGTACGTGAAGTCACGCGCCAGTTCTTCCTGCTTGGGGCCCTGGAATATTCTGATGGGCTGCAATGCCACACAGGGGGGCGCCGCCACAGCAGGCGACGAGAACCGGCGCACCGGAGAGTGCGGGATGGCGTGAGTGGGGATGGGACACAGCGAGGTGCAGGAAGAGCACATCAAGGCCGTGAATGTGCATGGGAGAGAGCAGCAGCAGCAGCAACAGCGACGGCGGCAGCGGCAGCGGCAGCGGCAGCGGCAGCGGCAGCGGCAGCGGCAGCGGCAGCGGCAGCGGCAGCAGCACCCACCTTGCCCTCCACGATGTTGCGCGTGAATGAGAAGTAGGCCATGTCTGGTCGCCCCCATGGACCATACACCGTGAAGAACCTGCCACACGCCACAAAGAACGGCATGTACATGCATCACAGCGCAAGTGACTGTGAGTGCGGGCAGAGCTGGGAGAGAGCGTGAGGGCCAGTGGTGCTAGGCGTGGCACAGTGTGACGGGCAGTGGTACGGAGAGTGGCAGGGGCGAGGGGCGAGGGGCGAGGGGCGAGGGGCGAGGGGCACCTGAGGGCGGTGACGGAGAGGCCATAGATGTGGTTGTACGTGTGGCCCAGCACCTCGTCCGCCTTCTGTGAGCGGGGCCATGACACGGGTGGGAAGTGACGGGGATATGTGAGCGGTGGGAGGTGGGGGGTGGTGCAGGCAAGTCAGGGGCAGGGGCAAGGGCGGAAGCACAAGCACAAGCACGTGCGCGACAGCTGCGAAACTAGCGTGAGGCGCAGCGAAGCAAGGCGGAGAGGAGCAGTCGCGATGGGGACGCAAGAGAGGGAGGCGGCGAGGGAGTGGCGACCTTGGTGGCGGCGTAGAGGCTGGCTGGCTTGTCCGTGCGGTCGTCCTCCGAGAACGGCACCTGCCGGCCCACGCCATGCCGCGCATGGGCAACGCAAGGACGAGCAAGTGAGAGGTTTGGAGCTGAAATTAAGCAGCAAGGTCGAGACAGACGGATGATCGCGGCGAGAACGCAAGGACGACCAAGTGAGAGGTGCTGGAAGGTTAAGCACGCGTGGTGCAAGCGCGAGAGCTTACCTTGGTGTTGAGGCCGTATACTGATGACGACGACGCGTACACAATGGCAGGCTGCGGGTTAGACGCCTGCGCAGCCACAGAGAAGGGGGTACGACGGGGAGAGGGAGGAAGACATGGTTGGATGGATGAAGGTAGGACTTGAAAGAGAGAGGGGGAGAGTGAGCAAGTGTGCGCCTCCAGCCTCCCCACCTCGCCCCTTTCATCCGGGTCTCCGCTCCGCCCGTCTCGCCCCTGCCCGCCCCTGCCCGCCCCTGCCCGCCCCGCGCGTCTCCGCGTACCTTGCACTGTTCGAGCAGCGTGACGAAGCCCTGCACGTTCGAGTGCACGTACGCCAGCGGGTTCTGCACGGCGTACCGCACGCCCGCCTGCGCCGCCAGGTGCAGCACGTGCGTGAAGCGCGCCAGGCGGAAGAGCTGCGCGAGCAGGTCGGCGTTGGTGATGTCGCCCTCCACCACCATGCTGCCGCCCGCCGCGCACGCACGGGGGAAAGAGAGGGGCGGGAGGGGCGGGGACGGAGGGGAGGTGGATGAGAAGGGGCAGGGGCGCGTGAGGCGGCGGGGAGGGCGAGAGGGCGACGTCATGGGCGGGAGGCGGCAGAGCCAGTCTGGCGGGCAGGTGAAGCACGGGGCGGGCGGGCATGGCGAGTCGTACTCACACGCCTTTGTCGTGCAGGCGCGCCTGGCGCGCGCGCTTGAGTGCGACGGGATAGTAGCTGTTGAAATTGTCCACGCCCACCACGCCGTCGCCGCGCCGCCGCAGCGCCAGCGACACGTGCGACCCCACGAAGCCCGCCGCGCCCGTTACCAGCACCACCAGCCCCGATGGCTGCCGACGTGCGCCGTGGGGAAGGGGGGCGGGGGGGATGGGGAGGGAGGGATCGGGAAAGGGAGTGAGGCAAGCGCGAATAGGCGGCACGGCGGCTGAGCAGGCGATAGATGCTTCGACGCGCCGCATGTGCGGTGTGGTCGTGCCGAACGCACAACGCACGGCGGCGCCCCTGAGGCAGCCCGCACCTTCCGTGCGCCGTTGCGCGGACCGACTCCGCAGGCTCTCTGCCATCCGCGACAGCTCTAATACACACGACGACATCACTCAGGCACGGGCACGGCTCTGCCCCCTCTCTCGAATGGCGCTATAGCTGACCGCGCCTTGCGGCAAGTGGCGCAAGGCAGGCGCGGGGCTGCAGCACTCACCTCGTGCGGCGTGGCGGAGCGCACGACGTCCGCCTCCCACACCGCTCCGCCCCACGGCGCTGCGGGCTGCGCCGAGGCGTCGCGCGCTATAAGCGGCGAGGTGGATCGGTAGAGCACACCCACGACACTGAGAGGGGGACGACGGGGGAGAGCGAGGGAGGCGCGCAGAGGGCGGATGAGCGGCAGGCAGGACTGAGAGAGCGAGACGCGGACTGGGTGGCGGGCACGCGGATCAAGACGCACGCTGGTGGGCGCCAGGGAGGAGCGGCGCAGCCGACCAGCGCAACCGGCGTAGGGGGTTAGGGACTAATGCGAGGAGGGGGGTACGGCGACGAATGCAGAGGGAGCGAACGACGGGATTAGCGGAGGCGTACGTGACGAGGAAGAAGAGCGCCAGGCACGCGAGTTGCGTGGCGCTGAGGCTGCGCGCCGAGCGCAGAATAAACGAGTTGGAGCGGAGCTTCTCGTTGGGCGCGCTCTTCTCCACCTCCACCAGCTTGGCCGGGCTCGACGGCGACACCAGCTTCACTGCGGGCGCCATGTTCGGAGGCATGGCGGAACCCGCCCTCCCCGCACCACTCGACGCCCTCTCTCCCGCGCCCGCTGTGCGCTGACTCGCGACGGAACCCTGCTTGCCTTCCCGCGCTCACTCGCGCGCACCGTGCTCGCAGCCCCTCGCCTCGTTGCCGCAACTGTCGCACTGAAGTAAGGCGGTCGGCACAAGGGGTGACGCTTCTCGCGGTGCGCTACGGCGTGGCCGCTAATTACGGCTAGAAACCTGCTGGCGGGAGCGGGGAACTCGGGCAAGCGGAGCGACAGGGACTACGGCTGCCAGCGGCAGTGGTGGATCCCTGACACGAGCAGGCGCGGCGACGCAAGGCAGTGCGCGGAAAGACTTGTAGGCCAAGCCTGGCGGCAGAGAGGTGCGCAGAAGCGGGTCGGGCAGTGAATGGGACCGATCAGACTATTGGCGCCAGCAGCGACGAGACTTGCGGCGCTGTAGCGATCGGAGTGCACGTCTCCCCTCGCGATAGGCCACTACTGGCGCCCTCCACTCTTCTGCACCCTCGTGGGAGTCCAGATATTCGCCGTTGCGTGCGACTAGAACAGTAATGTGCCACTGTAGCAGAACAAATGACTCAATGTCAGTGGGGTGAAGGGAATGCTGCTTATCTCAATGTCAGCAGCAACTCTGCTCGTGGGTGGACAGAGGTTTGGTGGATGAGAGGCAACTGCATGGGCATTGGGTCAATGGAGGGGCACTGCACAGGGAAGGGGAGGAAAAGAAGCATGCAGGTGGCGCTGCGCCAGGCCAACCTCATCCAACAAGCCTTCCCCCCCCCCCACCCGGACCAGACCAGCCCGTGCCTGCTCGACGACGGCACCGCGGCAGACATGAACAGTTCCGACAACTGGGCCGAGGCACTATCGACATGACCTTTTCCCCTCTTCAGCGCCTTTGGTTGGGGAGCTCCACTTTGCCCAAGTGATCCATTGGATGACATCCGCGCAGCGTCCTTGGGCGACGCGAAATGAGCCGCGCCGACGGCAGGGAGGTCTTCCGTCCGAACCTCCGCCAGAGGCTTGTCCAAGCCCCTTGCCCCAAACCCTCGCGCCTCGCTCAAACCAGCGCAAGCTACGGCGAGAAGGGTGATGGCTGGGGCTTGCAGCGAAAAGGCTCGGACCAAAGTCAAGTGCTCGGCTTGGGAACAAGGAGCCTGAGCAGGCTCGTGAACGAACGCAGTAACACACGTTGGCGACATGTCTCCAAGGGATGTTTGCGATAACTCATAAGTTACAAGGAGCAGTAAGCACAAGCTCACCAGCTCTAGGACAAAAATAAGCAAATAATCCAAATCAAACAAGGGGGGAGAGTGCTCAAGTTAGACGAGTCCGGAGTGTCTTGGGTTGAATGTACTGTTTCTTAAGTGGGCACTTGGCCTCGCATCTGAAACCAGCAGTATGGTTGAGGACATACCCCTCTCATCCCGCATCAATAGCAGTGATGGGGAGACGTGAGTGAAAGGATGGGCGTTATGGTGCATATCACTGTGTCCTGATGGAGGGGCACTATGTGCGCGTAGCACAGAAGGGTTCAAGTTCCTGGCACATTGACTGACACCTCTTGTCTGGATTCCTCTGGTTCCTCCTGTTGGAAATATCTCAAAAGACTTAAGCGTTTCTGAAGTGTAACACTACACTCGAGGAAGATCGCAACGGGTACGCGAGTCAACTGAGGTTACACGAGGGGGGGCGGACAAAGAACGCGAAGGGACTCGAAGGGTCGCAACTGGAGGTTGCGACTGACCGTTACAACAGCGCGGATGGTAACCGAAGCAACAATCGAGTCGCTGTGCGACTCGATAACCGCTCATGCAACTGTATTCTACAACAGCTTTCTTATTTTTCTATATATTGCTGTATGCTTGTCTCTTTAATCAATCACTTGTTCTCATATACTAGTACAAGGGTTCAACTACTCAACTTCCACTGCACTACTCAAGCCTCATTCCTCAACCGGGACTTAGTCTCAGGAAAGATCCTAAGGGCTTTTACTCAGCCCAACATGGTATGAGAGCTGGTCAGAGACCAAACTCCCAGCAACTACGCTCTATCTACAATCTGCATTTCAAACGACTTCATTGATTACAAGTCATGGACAGCAAGGGCAAGAAAATCTCTACGGGCCCACCCAGCGCCCAAAACACTCAACCCAGCAACTCTGGTTTGCACACTTCAGGACTGCAAACTGAGACCGGCGCTGCTCAAGAAACAACATGAAGAGCACCGGAAATGGTGACCCCATCACCCTCTTCAAGCGTGGATCCGAACCTTATGGAAAGGTTCTTCAGCTTCATGTCGCACTTCGACCAGCAGCAGCAGACAAGGACATCTGCGCATTCAATACAGAGCAACGGAGGAAACATGGGATTAGCGCCGATGAGCCTCGACAATTCATCGTTCGGGCGACACAATCAAGCGCCTACCTTTGCGCCTTATCACTCTTCACCGGGGACATTCGAGTTCATGCCGCCCTGTGCCCAACCAACAGCAGCTGCATCACAACAGACACCAAACGAGATTTTGAGTCTCCAGGCGCAGTTTTCACACGTAATCAAGTTACAGACATCCTCACCGTTCAACGGACATGACTTCTTTATCTGGAGCTTTGAGTTCGAGCTGCTGATGGAGGCTGCGCATCTCTTGGGATACTTCAACGGGTCCCTGCCATTCCCAAGCAACGGCACTGGAAAGGAGCAAGAAATTTTCACATATCAGTCGCTGCTGGCGTATGCAGTTCTCCTGCGGAACCTGTCACCACAAGAACAGCAGAGCATCAGAACGTATCGGAGCTATGGAAACTCCGCGGAACTCGCATGGCATCATCTCAAGTGTCTCTATCAAGCAAACGACAGCGTGACACAAAGCAAACTCATGCAACAGCTGACAACAATACAGATGAAGACCGGGGAAAAGGCAATGCAGTATATGAATCGATGCCAAACACTCCGCGACCGCCTGTTTCGGTGCGGAGGAACAATCACTGAAGAAAGCTTCGTGACGCTTGTCCTCGCCGGGCTCGGGCCAGAATGGAGAACCACACGCTCGCTTCTTCGTGCCCACGGAAGGATCTCGGAAATGCACCTCTGCGCCGAGCTTCATGCTGAACAACAGGAGATGGACCTGTTCGAAGAAAGACAACCAAGGAAGCAGCAGCAGTTAGTCTTCTACACTCAACGAAGGAACGACAACAACTACAATCGACGCGGCAAGAAAGATCAACGCGACAACAGAGGACTCACAATCGTGCCGCCGTTCTGCCACAACTGTCAAACATCCGGACATTCCAAAGTCAACTGCACACGTCATCGTGTCTATCGTCCAGTAGACCCACAAGTCGCCTCCACTCAAGAAAGCCCTCCAAGACGCTCTTCCACATCTGCACAAGGGACACCGAACATCATCAACTGCATGGTACACATCGACAACTGCGCACCCGGTTCACCACCCACTTACGCACCAGACGAAGAAGAACTCCCGCCGCCGCGCTCACAAGGACTTCAGGTCAACCCGACATACGCTGCGGTCGCCAACGCCGAACCTACCGGGCGAAACACCTGGTTCTTGGACAGCTGCTGCGGTCAACACATGTGTTCTTTCGGACGCTTCGTGCAATGAGAGCGACGCCTCAACCGCGACGTCATCATCACTGTCACCAACTACGAGAACCTGAAAACAAACAGACAAGGAGTCGTTCAGTTACAATCCATGGAAACAAATGTCATCCTGCAACTCAACAAGGTTCTAATCGTCGACAACTTGGGATACAATCTGTTAAGCGTCAGCCAGCTAATGGCAAAAGGAATTCACATGGAGTGCGACTCGGACTCCAACGAGTTTCGCCTTTACCACGGGAAGGGCGGCCTCTTCATCGGTCGTGCTCTCCTGAAGTCAGGTGTCTTTGTGTTGGACTTCGTCCCCGACCGCGGTACTGCCGACAGCGATGGCATCGTGTTGTTCGCCGCCTGGACACACCCGCCGGATCTTGACCCCGACTTCAACCCCGACGGATTCTGGTACTCCAACACCATACCTGCAGCAGAGAGAACACGAGCGTTAGCAGTCATCAGACAAGAAAGACAAGTACCAGCAAGCATCTCTTCCCAGACATCACCTACAGTAACAGCAGCAGGACCCAGCCAAGTACCATCGCCAGCAATCCGTGGACCGCCAACCGAAGCAGATCAACTTATACCCATCACACGCGAAGTCTGCCGAAGTCCCGCCACGGTCGTCGCGTTCTTCTCCAACGCCGACATATATCACCGCTCGCCCGGCCATCGCGCTCCCGACAACATCTGGCACCAACGTCTCGGACATCCTGCAAACAGTACAATACTGCAAACCATCCAAGCCGAAGTGTTAGAACGAAACGCTCTCCTTACAACGAGCGGCCAAGAACTTCGACGACCACGCGCACGGTGCCTTACATGCCCCGAAGCCGATCTTCCCCACCAGCCTTTTCCATCCCATCATAACCCAAGCGCACCTGCATACGTACCGATGGAAAAAGTCTACAGCGACATTTTAAACATGCCTCGAGAAGACACGGAAGCCGACTTCAACTATGTCATCACGTTTACCGACGCAGCAACAAGATACGTCTGGCGCTACAACCTCAAGACGCGCGATCAAGCCTTCGACGCCTTCACGACATGGCTCCCCATCGCCGAACGAGAATCAGGAACCAAGCTCAAAAGCTTCCAGTCAGACGGTGCACTGGAATACCAGTCACAACGCTTCAGGACCTATCTGGCGGAAAAAGGAATCAGACGTCTGGTCTCTCTGCCCTACGCTCACCAGCAGCAGGGGGTCGCAGAACGCATGAACCGGACCTTGCAGACGACAATGCGAAAGCTGCTCCTGGGGATGAGACTGCCCAACACACTGTGGCCAGACGCGATGACACATGCAGTCCACCTGCACAATCTGTTGTCCTCGTCATCGCTTCCCAACAACGCATCACCGCACCTGCTGTGGACACGAAAAAGGGGCAGCACAAAATTACTTCGAGTTTTCGGCTGCATGGTACAGTACAGACCCCACACAGCCCGAGCAGGACGCTTCACTCAACGAGCTCGGTGGGGACTACACCTCGGCATCGCCAAACATTTTCACGCATGGAAAATCCTCGACATACAAGACAAAAATACGGTGGCATCACGTGATGTTATCTTCTACGAGCGTCTGACGCTGCAGCATTACCTGGACAACATTGCCAACACACACGACCCCACCGACGGCCTCGCGGGCCTTCGTTCCTCCGCCGACCGTGCTGCCGAGGCTGACGCAGCAGAAGAAGACGTACCTGGAGCATCGGAAGCTGCCGGACCACTCCCTTTCTGTTCCGTACCTGTTCCAATCGATGAAGACAATCCCCTCGATACCAACAACCTCGACACCTTTTACCACTTCGCTGACCAAGGTTACGTTACACCCCACCCCGTCGACACAAATGTTTCAGAACGCATCGGCCCAAACTTCTTACCTGATCCAGAAGATGGTGACGAAGCAGCTTATTCCAAGAATGAAAATTCCCCTCGACACACACCCACGGGACTGCAGATCCTCGGCCTATGGGTCTCCGTCCAGCACCCGCCGCCGCCATCTCCGCGCGAGCCCTCGACTCTGTCGCAGGCTCTGGGGGGGGAACATAAGGCGAAATGGAAGGAGGCGATGGAAAAGGAACTAAAAGCTCTTCAAGACCGAAATACATGGAAGTTGGTACCTACAACAAACATCAACGGTAAGAACGATGAACATAAGGCGAAATGGAAGGAGGCGATGGAAAAGGAACTAAAAGCTCTTCAAGACCGAAATACATGGAAGTTGGTACCTACAACAAACATCAACGGGAAGAACGTCCTCTCGGGAAAGTGGGTGTACCGCATCAAGACCAACGCGGACGGCTCCATCGAACGATTCAAAGCTCGATGGGTCGTACGAGGCTTCGATCAACGATACGGAACCGACTACACAGAAACCTTTGCCCCAGTCTCCCGTCACACCTCCCTGCGCATCCTACTCGCCGTCGCGGCCACGAAGAAACTACCACTGCGCCAAATCAACGTCGCAAATGCTTTCCTGTACGCACCTGTGGACGCCGAGATCTTCGTCGAGCAGCCCCACGGATTCATCGACGACCCTACAAAAGTATGCCAGCTGATAAAATCCCTTTACGGGATCAAGCAAGCCCCGCGGCTCTGGCAGCAGCATCTTCACGGTCGCCTCGTAAAAATCGGATTCCTACAGCTGCCGCATGACCAAGGCATGTACCGACTGCAGAAGGGAAAAGAGTATATCCTACTCATCATTTACGTCGACGACCTGCTGTACATCGGTTCCACCACCAACATCGCCACCTGGTTCGAAGGGGAGCTGAAAGGGGACTTGACACTCACAGTGTCCGACTTAGTGACCAAGTACCTGGGACTGAATGTCGTCGAAGACAACTCGGCGTTCTACCTACACGCTGGAAAATACGCAGGCACTGTCGCGAAGAAATTCGGTCTAACGCCGACTACGGTCCCGACTCCCTACCGCTACGGGAACAACAGCAACACCTCAGCAAAACTCCCCGCGAAGCAAATCCAGGAGTATCAGCAGAAGCTCGGCTGCCTACTATTCGCAGCAGTAACCTGCCGACCCGATCTATCTTACAGCGCGAGCCAACTGGCGACGCACCTGAAGCAGCCGGAACAAGAAAATCTCGAGGAACTCAATCGGGCACTACTCTACTTCGTCTCCACGCCGACGACCGGGCTTACCTACAGTAAAGTAACGACATCGTCCGTACAACTTCTCGGATACGTCGACGCCGACCACGCGGGAGACAAGGGAAATCGACGATCGAGAACGGGCTATATCTACCGACTAGAACCTATCGGGACTATCTCATGGCAGTCGAGCAAGCAGGAACTAATCGCACTATCTTCGGCTGAAGCAGAGTATATCGCCCTCTGTACTGCGACCAAGGAATGACTCTACCTACGAGAGTTGCTCGAGGAAGCGAAGATTGCGACCCTGCCCGTCTTCTCACTCCTCTGCGACAATCAATCTGCGATCAAAATCGCGAACAAAGACGGCTTCGCCAACCGAACCAAGCACATCGCCCTACGGTACTTCTTCGTCAAGGACGAAATCGCGAAGGGGAGACTTCAACTCAGTTACTGCCCGACGACAGAAATGGCCGCAGACTATCTGACGAAGAAATTGGCGAACGCAAAATTCGATTACTGCATGCTGCTGACCGGGCAGACAAACGTCACCGGATCTGAACATGTCAGCACTCCAGAAACGAAGGGGAGTGTTGGAAATATCTCAAAAGACTTAAGCGTTTCTGAAGTGTAACACTACACTCGAGGAAGATCGCAACGGGTACGCGAGTCAACTGAGGTTACACGAGGGGGGGCGGACAAAGAACGCGAAGGGTCTCGAAGGGTCGCAACTGGAGGTTGCGACTGACCGTTACAACAGCGCGGATGGTAACCGAAGCAACAATGGAGTCGCTGTGCGACTCGATAACCGCTCCTGCAACTGTATTCTACGACAGCTTTCTTATTTTTCTATATATTGCTGTATGCTTGTCTCTTTAATCAATCACTTTTTCTCATATACTAGTACAAGGGTTCAACTACTCAACTTCCGCTGCACTACTCAAGTCTCATTCCTCAACCGGGACTTAGTCTCAGGAAAGATCCTAAGGGCTTTTACTCAGCCCAACACCTCCTCACTCTAAATCAAAATTGGTGGCCAGCCTTGTGAGAGGACCATGCTATGGGAAAGGGGGGGAAAGCATGGGTGGCTGAAATGTTTCTTCTGTTCATAAAAAGGGTTGGTACCGTATGAACTCATAGTGAGCAGTTACATTGCATGGCGTCACACCGCGTGACTGCTAGGCGTGGGTGCCAGCAGCGGTGAAGGCGGCGGTGAGGATGGCGTGGTCAGAGATGGAGTAGTCATCGGGCCACACGCCGCGCGCCATGGGGTCGGGCACCAGCTGGGCCTCGCATACCAGCAGGTCGGGCGCCGACGACGTGTCGGGCTGCACCGTGAAGGGCGTTGGCGCTGGCGAGGTGGCGGAGGCAGCGGGGTTGGATGGCCATGGCAACTCGACGATGCCGGTGGCCTCCTTGATGCGCGCATACGTTTCCTCCATGGACGGCGCCAGCAGCAGCGACTGCCACACCCACGCGCATGCACCATGGGGGGAGGGCCAAGTGGGAGTGCAGACGCAGAACAGTTTGCCCGATGATGCAGCAAGCGAAAGAGTGCGGAGAGTGGGTGTGCGGTGGTGGTGGCGGCGCACCTTGAACTCGTCGTAGTCAATGACCCCATTGCCGTCCGTGTCCACGCACTGCACCAGCTCCTCTATCTCCACGCGCGTCAGCCCCACCGTGCCCTCGCCCGTCAGCCCCAGCTGCACCCACCAACGCAACACGTTGGGGCGGACAGGGGGCAGGGGGCCGGGAGGGGGAGTGGCATGCAGGAGCAAGTGCACGGTTTAGGGAAGAGGCGTGAGGCGTGGTGCAGATTGGAGCATGGGGTGGGGCTGGGCGAGAGCGCGGGGCTGTGGTCACACCTGGTCCATGGCGTACTTGAACTGCTCCGCCGTCACGTGCTCTGGCACCTCGCCCTGCCCCTGTGCGCCCGCCTCACTGTCGCTGCGGAAGAAGTCAAACGCCTGCCGCTCCTCCTCCATGCCCGCCTCGCCCAGCTTTGCCTGCTCATGCAGCACACCGCACAGCACACGCCACATGGGCGGAGGGTTTGAGAAGGGAGCCGGAGCAGTGGTGAGGAAGGGCGTGCAGGTGGGGGGAGGTGGTGCGAGTGGTGGGAGGCGCGCACCTTGATCATCTGGAAGATGGCGGCCTTCCAGTCCGCCGTGAGTGGCTCATCCTGCGCACTGGGGTTGAGCAGCCAGATGTAGTCCACGCCCACCAGCGCTCCGTGGTGGTTGCGGTGCGACACCCACTGCCACACCACGCCATGGGGGGGGCATGCACCACACAGCACACATGCAGCACACGTGCATGGCACATGAATCATTCACGCATCACACATCATGCATGCATTACACGACATGGAAGAGCCACAGGGGAGGAAAAGAGTGGTCGGAAGGGGCAAGAAGGGCAGATTGGAACAAAGGCATGCGCACGAGGGGAGGGGCAGGTGAAGGGAGACGGGAGGAGATGCAGAGAGGCCAAAGTGAAGAGGCAGCACGGTGAGAGGGGATATGCAAGTGCAGCGGTGGTGGCAGCAGAGGTCTCACACACGCATCGTTGTCTGCATGTTGCTTGGCCGTGTCGTAGCACGACACAAAGCCCTGCGACCGCAGAAACCGGTACACTCGCCCCGTCTTGGTGCCGTTCAGGTCGCTGGGGGGGGGAGGGGGGGGAGGGGGATCATGAAGAAAAGAAGCAGTGTGTGCATTGGGAGGTGTGTGTGTGGGGGCGTGTGGGTGTGAGCGTGAGTGTGTGGGTATGGGTGTGTGTGTGTGTGTGTGTGTGTGTGTGGGCGTGTGTGTGTGTGTGTGTGTGTGTGTGTGGGCGTGTGTGTGTGTGTGTGGGTGTGTGTGTGTGTGTGGGTGTGTGTGTGTGTGTGGGTGTGTGTGTGTGTGTGTGGGTGTGGGTGTGTGTGTGTGTCTGTGTGATGGAGTGAGATATCGACGGAGCCATGGAATGGTGGAGGGTGAAGGTGCGGGAGGTGGGGGTAAGGGAGAGTTGATGCACTGACATCTGACCAAGCGCCATGTTGCTGGCAGGAGGGTGCGCTGCATGCAGCAGCAGTGGCCCCCACCATCCCCAGCGCGCAGCTCGTGAGCGGAGCAGGCACTCACCCGCAGAGCACAATGGGCAGGGCGGGCAGGCCATGGCGCTGGCGGTACTGCTCCAGGTACTCCAGCACCTTGTACACCTGGGGGGGGAGGAGAGGGGGGACGGCAGCGGGCAAGGACGGGTCAGGAGATGCCATGGCGTGATAGAGTGGTGACGACATAGTGCTTGCACGGTCTTACAGCCATTGGACTCATCACACAAGCACCATAGTTGCTGCTGACACCCCGGCTACTACTGTGCAGCACACTCCATGTGACAGCATGTGTGCATTGGGCGTCTTTAATTGCGAATCAGAATCCACGCAGGTGCGGGGAGAGCAGTGGCAGGGCGCACCTCGCGCAGGCGGATGAGGCTGGAGTTGGCGTTGTGCGGGAAGAGCAGGTGCGTGTTCACCAGCAGCATCTCGCCGCCGCGCACGCGCAGCCGCAGCAGCTGCGCCACGCGGTCGCCGCAGTCGTTGAACAGGATGGGCTCGTAGTCCGCCACGCTCACGCCCTGCCCGCCGCGCACCGCCGTCACCAGACCTGTGGCGGGTGCGAGGGGGGCACGCAGGTGAAGGGGGGTGCGTGAGTGCGGCCTGCTGGGGAACTCCTTGGGCTTGCACTCACTCACGCGCGCGCACACATATCAACCAGCAGCAGCAGCAGCAGCGGCAGCGGCGGCGGCGACGGCGGCGGCTCACCGTCGCCCCTGGCGTTGGTGCGCGGCAGCTTGAAGAGCTGGTAGCCGTGCTCCTCCAGCGCGTCGTGGTACATGCGCTCCAGGTCCGCGTTGAACCAGAACTCCTGCGCGCCCACGCGCGCACACATGGCGACGGACGCACAGCGGAGGGGGAGAAATGGCAGGAGAGGGGGAAAGGGGGGGAAGGTTAGGCAGCGTTGTTGTTTCCCCGGGGGTGATAAACGGAGCAGCAGACGTGCTGTAGCGTGGCGCAGCGTGCTCAACGTATTGTGAACCGCACTTCATCGCCTCGCATCACCGCGTGCGCCGCTATCTCGTGGGCCCCACCGCCCTCCCCCCGCCACCAACACACCCCACGTGCCTCCTCCCTTCCGTCCATGCACGCCCCGCCCCCCCCCCCCCCCCCACCACCCCCCCACCCCCGCTGTACCTGTAGGCACACCACGGTGCTGTCGACTGCGCGCAGGGCGGCCAGGATGCGCTCGTTGCGCGCCACCCACTCCTCGCGGAACGCGCTCTCGCGCACGGCCTGGCGGGCACCGGTGAAGGGGCGGGGGAAGGGGGAAGGGAGACGATGGGCGAATTGGATGGAGAAGGATTGGCGGATGAATGCGACGCATTCGCGGAGTGGGGGGATGCGGATGTGGAGCGAAACAAGAGCGGATGAGCTACGGCGGAGCGGCAATGGCGGCATGCGCTCCGTGCCATGCCTTCCAAAAGTTCGCCCTTTCGATGTTCCCGAGCCATGCAATCCTTCCCCGCGCACCTCGCCCGCCAGTCGTTTATAGATGGGCGCCAGGATGTTGAACGTCGAGATCGACAGCGCCACGTCGCCCGCTGCTTGCCCGCTCGCCGCAGCAGCATCCGCGGCTGCACTCGCAGCGGTGGGGCGCGCAGCAGACCCTCGTGTGGCGCGCGTGGCACGGCGGTGAGCGCGGAGGGAGAGATTCATGCCGCGCCATGCGGCTGGTTGCACGAGGCCGACGCGGGACGGCGTGGCACTGGCTGGTCTCCCGGTGGGCGATCGCCGCGCCGTGCACGTGCAAGCTTCCGCCCTCGCTGCCGCAATGTCCGCTTGGGTGGACGGCCGCAGGGGCAGCATCCATCGTGCTTGTTGCCACGTGGAAAGGGAAAGCGAATTGGCGACCATGGTTAGCGAGGCGATGGAGAGATGGAGGAGGGAGGAGAGCGGCGAGCGCACAAGCCACACGAGCGATGGGGGAGATCGGGTGAGGCGGAATCCTTAGCCTCTACTCCGACAACCACCCTCAACGTGCGACTGAGGCGAACGCACACTTATGTGACCTGCTCTGGTTTCTGCCACTCCAACGCTAGCTGCAACCTGAGATCCTTTCCAGTTCAGCTGGACAGAAATATCGTGCTTCTGTATTCAACAGCCTGTTTTACTTTTAAACTGTGTTACACGCGATCCCTGCAGGAGAACGGGCTCAGTGCAAGGATGCATTGTGACAATTCGGGCTTGAAAAATCTACAGCGTTAAAGCCGCTTCGTTAAAATTCAGATACAGCTCGAAACCGCATCGTTTAGAATGCGCCCCCACGACCCATCATTTGTGGTGGCAGATGCGACGAGCAACAAATGGTCATCATCACCTCCCATCCCAAGCACAGCGGGTCACACCGAATCTCGAGGCGCTCGCTCACATCAGCGCTCAAATGAAAGAGCCGCATGTGTTTGCTTGGCGCAGAACGTTGTGTCGGCTCAGCCAATGACGCTCGAAATCTCTCTGTGGCTTAGAGGGTGCACCGCAAATCATAAGCAACACGCGAGATTGACCGCACTGCCTCACCAGCCTACCACGTCAGCCGCAGAACATTCACGGTACACGTAGACCTGAGGTTGAGACAAAACCCGATTGAGAGGGAACCTCCAACTGAGACAAGGCTAACACCTAAACTTGGGATGCAAAAATATGCTAACTCAGAAACGGGAAACATCTACAAAAACGAGCGCGCGCACGGGGGGGGGGGGGGGGGGGGGGGGCGCATGGGTTAGGACTTGTGTGAGGTTCATTTTCCAGTCATGTGTGAAAAGCGGAAACGCGACTCGCCATATGATTGCTTGCAGGTCAGCGGATGCCTAGTGCTGGGTTCAGGCCTTCGGTTTAACCTTATTCCTGATTAAGACAAGGATGACAATGGTACGCCTATTAAGGACATTTATAGGGAGGTGTAGGATATTGAAGTGAACCACGTGTTTAGGGTGGCCAAGATCTAAAGTGTCAAACATGTGTATCTCTTATGTTTGCATACACTGTATAGGGTCACCTCTTAGAGGGTACAACACTTAGATATATTCATATGTACTCTCTCTCCCTCATTTATTCATTCAGTCTTGAGATGGTATCAGCAGTAGGTAGGTCCCCGACCACCCACGCTTCCGCTCTAGGACCTACCCTCCCGCCCTAGTCGCGCTCGCCCTAGCCGCGCCCGTCCTAGTCGCGCCCCGCGCCCCACCTCCCCTCGGCCCTAGCGCCCGTCCTAGCCGGCCTCGTGCCCGCCCTAGTGGCCCCTCGTGCCCGCCCTAGCGGCCCCCCGTGCCCGCCCTCTCGGCCCCACGCCCGTGCCCGCCCTAGCGGCCCCTCGCCCGTGCCCGCCCTAGCGCCCCGCCCTAGCGGCCCCCTGGCCCCCGTGCCCGCCCTAGCGCCCCGCCCTAGCGGCCCCCCCATGCCCGCCCTCTCGGCCCCACGCCCGTGCCCGCCCTAGCGGCCCCTCGCCCGTGCCCGCCCTAGCGCCCCGTCCTAGCGGCCCCCTGGCCCCGTGCCCGCCGTAGCGGCCTCTCGTGCCCGCCCTAGAGCTCACCCTAGCGGCCCCCGCGCTCACCCTAGCGGCCCTTCGTGCCCGCCCTAGCGCCCCGCCCTAGCGGCCCCCTGACTCCGTGCCCGCCCCAGCGCCCGCCCTAGCGGCCCCCGCGCTACCCCAGCGGCCCCTCCGCTCGTCCTCGTCGGCCCCTGCGCCCGTCCCAGCCAGCACCGCGCCCGCCCTCGCGACCTCTGCGCTCGTCCGCTCAGCCCCTGCGCCCGTCCCAGCCGGCCCCGCACCTGTCCCAGCCGGCCCCGTGCCCGTCCCAGCCGACCCTGCGCCCGTCCCAGCCGGCCTCGCGCCCGTCCCAGCTGGCTCCACGCCCGTCCCAGCCGACCCCGCGCCCGTCCCAACTGGCCCCGCGCCCGCCCCGTCGGCCCTGCGCTCGTCCCGCCGGCCTGGTGCCCGCTGCTCCTGGCCCCCGCGCCTGTCCTGCCCCGAGCTGTGTGCGGCCCGCACGTCGTCCCTGCTCCGGCCCTGCACTCTTCCTGGTACGGTTCCCCCTCACATGCACCGCCCTGTACCGCACGGAAACCGCACTGCACCATACTGCACTGCCCTGTACCGCACTCCACCGCGCTGCACCGCACTGCACCACACTGTACCGACCTGTACAGTCCTGCACTGCTCCTGATGGCGACGGAGCATCGCTTTGACGCTGAAGGCCAGCCTCTGGAGTTCGAGGCGTGGCTCGCCGACCTCCGCCGCCACCTCACTGGCCAGCGGCAGGATGGCCACCCGCTTTCCGCCCACCTTGACGGTACGCTCCCCTGCCCAGACCCCCCCTGCTGTGCTGTCTGCTGACCCCATACCTGCTGAGCGCGAGTCTACTGCAGCCGCTGCTCTTGCGCGCTCTGTCTGGCTTTCCCGAGACGATGTCTCCCAACTTGCCATTACCAATGCCTTTCCCCCGTTTGAGCGCCCTCGCTTTAGGTCCATCACTACCGCCCAGGCTTTCTTAAATGCTGTCATCAAGCGCTATTCCACACCTCCTGCTGCCTCGGTGGGTCGTCTGATCCTTCCGATGCTCATTCCTAACCTTGCGTCTTTCCCTACTGTCGCTGACCTAGCTGCCGACCTGCGCACGATAGATGAGACCTGGCGTACTGCCTGCACTGACCCACAGCTTCGAGCCCACCAGCCGCCCATTACCTCTACCCTCTACCTGCTTGCCACCCGCCTCCCTGACCGCCTTGCCGCCGCCCGCGACCGCTTCCTTAGCATTCACCCCGGTGAGCTCACCCTCACCGACTTTGTAGACACCCTGACTGTTATTAAGACCCGCCACCGCTCCATTGCCCAAGCGAGCGGTACTGTGCCGGTCCCTATCTTTCAGGGTTGTGCCCGCGCTCAGTGTACCTTCTCCGACGGTTCTGCCGCTGTGGCTGAGACCGCTGCTGCAGCGCTTGTCTCCTGACCCGACTCCTATGTCTCACGTCTGGTCTCGCCGTCCCTTACGTGCTCATCCTGTCTCCCCTGTCACGTGCTCTCACCCTATGTTGCTTCGTTCCCAGGCGTCTCGTCCTCCCCTTCTCCCGTCCCCTCCTCCGTCCTCCCTTGTCGTTGCCCCCCCCCCTCTGTCTGACTACCTTCGTGCCGCCTGTCCTCTCGTTCCTCGGGTCCTTGCCTCTCTCGTTACCGACCTGTCTGTTCCGGTCTCATGTCTTGACGCTCTTGTCGCTGCGGTCACTGACTTCGCCTCTACCCGCCGCCTTGACTACGCCATCGCTCTGGTCTCTGACCCTGCCAGTCCTCCGTCTGTCGGGGGTGCACCTGCTCTGGGCAGTGACGTCCTGGAGGACTGCCAGCTCGAGCTTGCTTTCCTGTCCGAGGCTGCTCCCCATCTCTGTTCCATGCTGCTAGTCCCCGAGGGTGACCCAGACGCTTTTCGACATCCCGACCCCTCGCACTTACGCTGAGGCGACCTCGGGACCCTGGGCCTCCCAGTGGATAGCTGCCATGGAGCAGGAGATGGCATCTTGGAGATCCACCGGCACCTTCGTCGATGCAGTTCCCCCATCTGGGGTGAACATAGTTGATGGCCGCTGGCTCTTCAAGGTGAAGCGCCCTCCTGGAGAGCCGCCTACATGGCTAGAGGTTTCAGTCAGCGTGAGTGGGTGGACTTCTTCCAGACCTTCGCTTCGACCCCGAAGATGACTACTCTTCGGGCTCTACTACACCTAGCAGCTCAGCGTGACTACGAGCTTCACTCCCTCGACTTCTCCACTGCCTTCCTTCACGGCAGCCTACACAAGCAGGTCTACCTGCGTCGCCCTTAGGGCTTTACAGGCACCTTCCCTCCTGGGACCCAGTGGCTCCTGCGGCGTCCCATCTACGGCCTGCGGCAGGCTCCGCGTGAGTGGCACGACACGCTGCGTGCTACTCTTGCTGACCGTCAATTCTTTCCGTCCTCGGCAGACCCCTCAATCTTCGTTCGTGCTGGCCAGATTCCGTTCTACATCCTTGTGTACGTGGACGACCTGCGTCGCCCTTGTGTACAGAGATTGCGTACTCTGACAGGGTCAGTTTGGTGCCTTTGAAAACGGTGGGAGATTGATGCTGCAGCAGTGCCAGGTGTCGTTGACCAATCTCGTATGAGTGCTGTGAACAGAGTCACGACCATTGCTGACGCGATCGAGGTGGTTCAACAGCAAGATGGACAGTCGAGATCATCTCGACACTTTTTGTCTTTCGATTTCATGTTGCCACTTGTATTGATTCTTCTGCCCGTTTTTGCGCTGCGAATGGCAGCTGGCGCGATTTTAATCGTGTTCGTTTTTTTTCAGCTGAGCGAACCTTGGTAATGAAGGACAGAATACTATTTACAGGCAAGAAAAACGTGCAGGATGTTATGTAAAATGCAAACTCAGAAAAGCGGGTACTCTAAAAAATGCGCCATATCATAAGCTATCCCCCGCATAAGCCACCCGTGGGCTGACTATTTCGGCGGGTCTTATATACGGGGGATTACGGTAGGTGAGCGGCCTAACTCTGCCCCGGTCCTGTACGTTGACAACAGGGCCATGATCCTCCTGTGTCAGGAGCCTCGACTCGAGGGCAGAGCGAAGCATATTCAGCTGGGGTACTTCCTCCTGCGCGAGCTACAGCAGCGCCGCCAGGCTCGCGTAGTACACCTGGCCTCCGGTGCCAACACAGCTGATATCTTTACGAATGCGCTTGCGCCTAAAGATCATCAGCGAAACTTTGTACAGCTTGGTCTAGTTCTTGTAGCCTTTCACTTGCTAGGACCTTGACCTTGTACTGTCCTATATATCTATGTGTACTCAGACCGGACTTGTGTCCTCTGCCAGTGGCTGGACTAGTACTGCCGCTCTGGTCTTTTTCTTGCCTTGCCTGTATTCCTTCTAACTGGTCTTTAGACCCTTGTCTCAGTGGCTGGACTAGTAGTTCCTCCCTGAACTGCTTGTTCATTACCTGCCCCTATGCAGTCTAGGTGGTGTGTCAAACATGTGTATCTCTTATGTTTGCATACATTGTATAGGGTC